AACAACAATAGTAATAATAATAATAATAGTAATAATAATAACAATAATAGTAATAATAATAATAACAACAGTAGTGAGTAAGTAACAGCAATAATAAAAATAGCAATAAAACTAGTAGTAATAGTAACAATAATAGTAATAATACTGATAACAATAATAGCAGTAGTAGTAGAAGGAAATACGACTGGATAATATCACTCTATAAAAAACAAAGCTTTCTAACGTAACGTAATTCGATCCTCCTTCAAAAAGCGTGAAAAAGAAAGGAAAATTCTTATAAAAGTGCAGGGCTGGAGTGCAGCTTGTATTTTGAACTTTAGGTGTGGATGGGGCAACACTAAGTTCTGACTAAACGTTGTTTGGACTAGATTTCGTGTCCTCCCAATTTCAGTCAGATCCTTATTCCTCGAGTTCTGACGAGTTCTAGCGCTTCCTACGTTGCCTGGTTCGCGAAATCGTTTTCCGCCAACATATTTCTTTGGGGGTTCCGTACGCGGGGTCTAGGCGCGCATGGGGAAAGATCCTAAAACGGGAGGATGACACACGGGGTAGGAATATATATCCAAAGTTTCAGCCTCCCAGATTTCCTGGTTGCTGACTTCCTAACTTCGGGCCTGCAATTATCATACTTCCTCCGTCCCAACAGACTACGGTTTAATTTGTGATAACCAGCCTAAATATGATAACCAATCCAAATAAATTATAAAATAACAGTAAGAAATAAATTGGATGATAAATGATCAAAAGAGTACAAAGGAATAAATAATAGTAAAAAATAGTGAATAGTGATAAAAAGTACAGTATGAAATATAAAAGAATCCTGAACTGAAATGTTTCGGTCCTTTAAATCGTATACATTCCAAATCAGTAGTACCACAACTGGGTCTCGTCAGTACGACATGCTAATAACCATTGCTTTTCTCCTTCTACACATTCCAATCAAGGGCAGTACGCTTCCTTCATCCACTTGATTTTTCCTCCAGGAATTTGAGGTTCAGCTTTCTTTGCAAGCTCGTTTAACAGATTCTGCAACGACTGTGTTCCGCCAAGCAATAAAAGCATAAAGAGAAATAAATTCTTTCTTTTTTTGCAAACCTGCAAGCAGCAGAAAAATAAATTTTTTTCCCTAGAAATCAAGAAACAGTAGAAAAATAAGTCTTTTTTTGCAGACCACCAAGCAGTTTTGCTCGATCAAAATAGTGCCTGCTGGATTATTATCAGAGCAATGAGTTCGGGTGATGATTCATCGCAGGAGGATGATTTTCGCTCCGATGTCCTCGCTGTAAGCAGCTCTCTCCCAGTGCATTTTGTTTTTTTTTTTTTTCATCTTTTGTTGGTAGTGTTTACACCGCTCATTTTTTTCAACATCAATACTTCCACATGCTTTTTGTACCTGCTCCATGATGTGATTGTTTTTTTTTTTTTATTTTTATGCATTTTTGGCATCTATGCAATGCAGAAAACGCATATTTTCAAAGGGTTGTCTATGTGTATGTTTGTGCCCGTGTGTGTGTTTGTGTCTGTGTGTGTGTTTGTGTCTGTGCGTATGTTTGTGTCTGTGTGTATGTTTGTGTCCGTGTGTGTGTTTGTGTCTGTGTGTGTGTTTGTGTCT